GCATGGCCCCGCAGGTCAGAGCAAGTGGTGAGGAAGTTTATTGGGTGTCCCACCAGAGAACACCCACAATCCACGCAACAGAAGATGGAATTTTACCTGCAAAGGCCACTTGGGGGCAATATGTATCCCTCAAACTAGGAGCCTTGGGATTGGAGTTAGGAAATGCTTATAACTTGCCTCAGGAAAACATTCTTTATTTATAATATTTTATTTTTTAAAGATTTTATGTATTATTTATGCATACAAGAACTGGGGTTCAGGCCAGAGGTGTGGATGGTGAGAGGATTCACCAGAGATAGAGTGGGGAACAGAACAGGCAGATCGACTGAAATACACTGCTGAGGGGAGCAGCGGGTGAGACAGGAGAGGCCTGCTGCGCCATATGGGTTGCTCCCTGGCTGGGGATCGAACTCGTGCTGCAGTGGCTGTGGTGAGCTTCATAGTTCATCATGGTCTGTGTCCCCTGACCCAAGGCCAGAGACCAGGATAAGGGTAGGAAACTGGTGGGGGGCAGAGAGCACAGAAACACATTCTTGCCCTGGTAGGGCTGTTCTGGGGGCCTATAGTGACCCCTATCTAAGGAATCCTCCTTATCTGCCATTGAGGTTTGGCTGGGTCCCAGGACTCAAAGGCTCAACCTTAAATTTATGGCCTCATCTGTACCTGAGTGTACCTGGCTCTAAGCTGAGTCTTCTCTCTCAGTCTCTCACCCAGGCTCTGAGTATTTGGCCCCAACTCACCCAGCTCTCCCCCAAGGCCAGAGCATCCGCTGCAGAACCCGCTGCACACACCCTCCAGCAAAGCACAGACAAAAGGGGAGACCTTGTGCAAACTCTACCTGGCCTTGCTCCATCGCAACAGAATGTTAATAACAAGACTGAAACCCAAAGCACCTCACTCTTTAGGGGCTCATTTTCCCTTTACAGGTGAGGAAACTGAGGCCCAGGGAGGTTCAGTAACCTCCAGAGCTCACTGGAATGCACTTGAATATCTTGGAGGGGGGGTGTTTTTCAAGTGTTTTACCACTGTATTAACTGAAATATGTCATGTATACACATACACAGAATATGTTTCACTATTTAAAAAACAAACAAAAATGTGTCAAGTTGCTATCACCTGGAATCTCTACTCTCGAGCACTTCCTGAGCCAATCCTCCCACATCTCACCTTCTGGGAGGACATGTTGTAAGATGGACATGTTGACATGAAGACCACAAGACAACACAGAGCGATAACAGCGAACACATGCCCCACGTGCCAGGCTTAACTCATTTCCTCTTCTCAGCTGTCCTGAGAGCTGTTATTATCCCGCCTTACCTAAGGCCATGCAGCTGTGGTGCAGGCAGTCTCTTGATCAGGTGGACTGAATTTGCTGTGTGTGCTCTTAAGTGCCCCAGGTGAGCCCTACGGGCCCTGGGAAGGCTGGGGCCCGGCCTGTTCCCACTCCAGTTCCGGCCTAGAGATAGGGCTGGGGCTGAGGTTGGTTGCACAACTCTGAGTGGCCACAGCCTCTTCCCAGTAAGGGCATCAGCACCTGGTCTGACCTTTTCTGGGCTGCAGGACCCCACCTGAGGAGAGAATGGTGAAATCAGGCAGACAGGGTGCTACCTGTGGGTGCCCACCACTCCGAGGCCCTGAGTGGAGCAGAAGGGGTCGCCAAACAGCAAGGAAGTGGCTGGTCCCAAAGCCAGCACCGCCATCTGGAGATCAAATCTTTATCAGGAAAGCCCTGAAGGGGTGTGGTCTGTGTGTGTGTGTGAGTGAGTGTGCAGTGCGCAAGCACTCGTGCAAAGCCAAGGGCAGGGGCTCACAAGGGTGTGACTCCCACTCCACCCTATCCTGCCTGCTTCCTGCAGCGGGACCTGCTCTCTCCTCCCAAGACCTGTCGCCTCTCCCCTGGGCCAGGCCTCAGTTCACTCTACCCCCTCTCCTTTACTTCCATTCCTCCTTCCTCTTTCCATTCCAGCAATGGCTGCTCCTTGCTTCCACCTCAGGGACTTTGCACAGGCGGTTGCCTCAGCCTGTCCCACTGGCTCGCTCCCTCTTCCCCTTCAGGTGTTTATTCAAAGTTGCCCTCTCAGGGCCTCCCTGGTGGCGCGGCGGTTGAGCACTGGGTTGCGAGGCTGCCCGCAGCCTCTGGGGCGCCGGTTCGATCCCCGGCTGCTCCCCGGCCACTGGAGGAGGGTCCCGCATGGCCCGCAGACCTCTCCTGCCGCCCGCTGCTCCCCTCAGCAGTGTACTTCGGTCCTTCTGCCTGCTCTGCTCCCCGCTCTGGCTCTGGTGAATTCTCTCACCCTCCCGCGCTTCTGACTGTACCCAGTGCTTGTATAAATAAATAAATCTTAAAAAAAAACAAAGTTACCCTCTCAGTAAGGCTTCCAGTCTTCACACCTTCCACATCCTTAATCCCTCACCTTTTTTCCTTTTGTATCACTTACACAACATATATTTTTCACACAATGTCAGCTCCCAAGGGACCCACATTTTTGTTGCTCTCCCTTATGCTTGTGTCTTCCGAGCCAGGGCAGCGCCTGGCACACGGTGGGCTTCCAGCCACCACCCTCTGGTGCATCGAAGGCGTCTGTGTGCCGTGCACAGAAACGCTCCGTGATGTGGTCAGGGCTGCTCTGAGCCGGACACTGGGGCCAGAATCCACAGGATGTTACGGGCAGTGGGACTCATGCAGGTCCAGACAGAGCAGTGGACAGCAGGTGGGGATCCCGGACGGTCCCACTGGCCACGGTGCCTGAGGCCACCTCCCAGGACACAAAGTGCCAGGAGGCGGAAGTGTTCAGTGAGGCCCAGAGGGACGTACAACCAGACCTGGTGTGTGCCTCTCCCACCTGTGACTGAGGCCTTAGGGTCGTCTGCCTGTTCTGCGCCCCACTCTGTCTCTGGTGAATCCTCTCCCCCGCCCCCCACGCATCTGGCCTTTTCTTGTATAAATAAATAAATCTTTAAAAATAAGCGAATATATGATACCTACAAATATACATATCACAGTTAGATGTGATAAGGCCCAATTATATAAGACCCACGAGTTTATCCCAATTCCAGAACTAGAAAATAATTAATAGCTTTCCCTACCCCGCCCCCGTCTCATCTCCCACCCCTTTCTCCAAGGAGGAAAAACCCCTACTTTTCTTTTGAAGTCGTTTTGTGACATATATACGTACCCCAAGAGTGCATTACTTTTGCTGGATAACTGTCATTCCGTGTATCGCCGACTGCATTGCTTCTTACGCCTCCAAACTTTTTCCATGTTGTTGCAGGTAACTCGTGCCTCAGTTGCACTGATGTATCGTGTTCTCATGTAAGTACTGCCGGGTATCTTACGCCATTGATGGGCATTTGGGTGGTTCCCAGTGCCCCCTTGTCACATATCTTGCATCTTTCCTTAGCCAAACCTCTGAGATGCCCTCTCCACCCCTCCTGGCCGCGTTTCCAACACCCGGCTCATGACTCCCTTTCACTCCTCCGCAGCCCCAGCTCCATCTGGCTTCCCCAGGCTCTGTCTCCCGCTCCTTCCGAGTGCAGATCACAGAGAAGAGCAGCTGTTTATGGAGCCCCAGTCTGTGCCAAGCACTATGCTCAGAAGTGCATGTTTTATTTTTTTTTTAAAGATTTATTTTTTATTTATTTATTTAATTTATTTATTTATACAAGCACTGGGTACAGTCAGAAGCGCGGGAGGGTGAGAGAATTCACCAGAGCCAGAGCGGGGAGCAGAGCAGGCAGAGGGACCAAAGTACACTGCTGAGGGGAGCAGCGGGCGGGAGGAGAGGTCTGCGCGCCATGTGGGACCCTCCTCTGGTGGCCGGGGAGCAGCCGGGGATCGAACCTGCGCCACAGAGGCTGCAGGCAGCTTCGCAGCCCAGAGCTCAACCGCTGCGCCACCGGGGAGGCCGCATGTTTTATTTTATTGAATATTCACAGCAGTGCAAGTGGAAGGGAATTTCATTATCCCCGTTTCACAAATGAGAAAACCAGGCGAGACCACACACCTCTCATCCCCCAAGGCGCGGACACAACTCAAACTCAACATGCCCCGAAGTAAGTTAGCATTTTTCTCCAAACCAGTTCCTCGCTCATGCCCATTCTGGAAGTCAGCCCCGACTTCCTCTGCTTCCCCACCCAGCCCAACCCGAGGCCTGCCAGTTTCACCTCCTCGCTGTTCAGTGAGCCCTGTCCTCTGCCCGGTTCACAGCACTAACCTGGGGGGGCCTTCCTCTCCTCTGGGGTTACTCACCACGCTCCCTGCCAGCCCCAGTCTCTCTCTCCCGCTCTTCCAGCATCTTGCACACTGCGGTTCAGGGGGCTTTCCAAATCTCATCTCTCCATGTCCCCCGCCTTCTGTGCCCCCTCACCCCTCAGACTGTAAAGGGTGGCAACGAGTCCCAGAAAGGTCATCTCTCCCTACTCTGTTCTATTCTCTCGGGGAAGCCATCCCTTGCCTTGGCCCATACCCTCTGAGTCCCACAGGCCCCATGCAGCCCCTCTCCACTACTTAGCTCCTTCCTCGTGATTGCCTGTCCCCATTAGGCTGTGCTCCTTGAAGGCAGAGGCCCAGCCCCACCCGCGGCAGCATCCCCTGTGTCAGGCCATATCCGCGCACACGCGGTGCTCATGGATGTTGACAGGCTAAATGCACAAGCAATGACAGGAACCACAGATGCCGCTGCCAGGCTGATCCTGGCTGCCCCACCTCCCCCCAAATCTCTTGCCTATCCCCCTAAGCCCCATGAGGCCCTTTCTTTTCTCTACGACTTTTACAAGGATTTCCCTCTCTACATCTCCTAGAAATCCTAGTGCTGGGACTCCTGTGTGAGAGAGTCCTGGCCTGGGAAGAAGGAAGAGGAAGCCAACCTTCTACCTCCTTCCAATCTGCATCAAGGGTTTTCAAAGTGGATGGTGGGAGTGGTGGTTTTGGACCCAAGGGAGAGAAAATGCATTCTTGGAAGGAAGGGATAGGAAAATGAAAAAAAACTCTTACTCTTTTTTGTATAAAGTATATTTTAAAAGTGCGTATATAGCAGTGTAACAGACAGATGTGTCTTTGGCATTCAAATGTCATGTGACTAAGAAAAAATTGTCTACGAGGCTCCTGCGGGAGGCAATCATGAAAGAAGGTTGAGAAACTGATCTACACTTTTGAGACTTGCCTCCCTTAAGGCTGCCAGGGCAGCCCCAGGCATCCCCAGAGCTGACCCCCATCTGCCAATTGCTCTCCTTTCCCCAGGCCATCGCCTCCCTACCCTTGCCAGAAAGCCCATCATTTGGTGTCTGGCATCCCTTGATATCACCTGATTCCTCCTGAGACCGCAGGTCTGCTCTTCCTCCTTGTCTTCCAGGGGTATCCCACCTCCCAGAGCCAAAACGAGCTGGAGACCTCTCAGTTCTATCTTCTAGTTTCACGATCTGCAGCATAAACCTGCAGTTCCCACAAAACTCAGGAGGGAACCCAACCACTGGAGACACCCAAGAGGCAGGGGTGCCACAGTGGGACAGGCTTTCTTTATTGGGGTGGAGGGATGGGATCACAAATAATATTACTTAGAAGGGCTCCAGGTGGATGGGGTCACTAATGGATGTTGAAGCCAGGGCGATAGGTCTGTTTTCGGGGTACACAGAGACAGGAGTGCGGGAAGAGGTCATGGCTGATTGAGCTGTGGTCTTGGGCAACACAGATGTCCTGTCTCCAGACACCTTGGAGGTTCCTGTCTTGGGCTCCCTTGGGACGCAGGAGCTGATGAAGATTATGTAGATGAGGGCTCCTAAATAGGCACCGAGGAGTGGCGCTACCACTGGCACCCACCACCAGTTCTGAGCTCTGCAGGGAAGAGACAAGTTCTGCTGAGGTGGCCAATGCCCGGGAGGCACCCCAACCGTATCCACCTCAGACCAAGCATAGAGGAGTGACTCCTATCCCAGGCCAGGAGTGACCCCTTATCAAGGGACTCTGGTCAGCCTCAGCCTGATTCAAGGACCCCGGCTAGTCTAGCGCAGGACTGATGTTCAGTCCCGGAGCAGAATCTGCATCAGGACATGGTCTGGGGGATCCACTGCTGCCTCTTCAGGCCCCTGGGGAGCTCCGCAGGACTGTCCCGTGCTCTTCTTCACATCCCCCCATTGTATGCAGAGAACCCCCAAAACATTCCCAAGAATGGACTGGGTAGGGAATTACCTGAAGACCTCTGCTCCCCAGCCAGCAAGGAAGGTGAAGAAGCGGGGAGGCAGGTCCCGGGATGGGTTCATGGCATAACCTGAGTTCATGCCCAGGGACACGCCAATGACGACAACAAGGATGCCGATCACCTCAGGCTCTGTCCCTTGCGCTGCTGGGCTGTTCCTCTTGTCCGTGATGGCCAAGAGACATAGCTGAAGCATTGCCGTCACCACTACCTGGGGAGCAGACACAGTGGCCATCACCAGAGCTAAGCCACAAGGCCTGAGAAGCGCCCCACCTGAACCCACTGGCAGCGACCTGTCTTGGTACAGAGTTCACGTCCTCTGTACCGCAAGGGGCTGCCTTCTGGCTCCCTTCTCAAGGGAGGAGGACTTGAGAAGAGTCATCCACCCCGGAACCACTGACCTCATCCAGGAAGCCCCTCCACAATGTCATGTTCTTAGGAAGATAGGTGGCAAAAATGCCAGCAGTGGCGAGGGGACCGGTCACCAACAGTTGTCCACCGGCATGCTCCTTGATGTGCACTGTGGAGACATGGAGCCCAGGAACAAGGCTGTAAGATGGAGGGGCGGGGAGCCCCTCCAAGGTGTTTCTCTTCTAGACGTTTTCACAGGCCAGGACACTGACGTCAGGTGTGCCCGTATCTCAGAAGAGGCAGGTAAGGCCAGAGGGAGACAACGCAGGGCCGGGCACTCACCGTAGAAGAGGCAGAAGACGGTGGCAGCGGCCAGAAAGGACCCGAGGCACTGACCCAGCACGTACACAGGAAACCTCTTCCAAGACATGCGGCCCATCGCACAGGTGGTGAAGGTTATAGCTGCATTCATGTGGGCCCCTGGGGGGCAAGTCAGAGGGGCCCAGGGAGAGAAAGCAGAAATGACAACAATAAATCATACTGAGAGCAGCAACAATAATGATGAGGGCTAGTATTTATGGCGTGCACTCAACCGTTTCATCCTCACAAGGTCCCCGTGAGGAGGCCAGGACAACCACCTCCATGTCACCATTAAAGAAAATGGAGCACAGAGAAGTGAAATAACTTGCCTTGGTTGACCCAGCTAGTAAAAACAGTGGGCAATGGAGGCTTCATGGAGAATCTGGATAGAGATGGTCAAAGGAAAGTGTAGCTCAGTGTGTCCTCCCTCCAGGTGGCCAAGGTGAGGCAGTGGCTGACTAGGATAAGGAGCTGGCTGGAGGTGGGCAGGAAGAATCCACAGGGGCCCCCCCACCTCCCAGCCCTGCTCCAGTCATGAACACCTGCTGGTTAGAGCCAGACTCACTCACCAGAGATGCTCCCTGCCAGGTGCACTCCCATGGTGACTCCGAAACCAAAACCCAGGTTGACGCCGAGGAAGGTTCCATGAGTAACAGGTGCTAAAGTCATATGGGCCACGGAACCAAGGCCAAACATCTGCAAGGAAGGGTCTCTGAGGGGACTGCCCACCCAGCAGCCCCAACCTCAGCGGACCTAGAGCTCAGTTAGGGCTCCTCACCCCCATTCCAGGGCCCTCCCCACATTGTCTTTGGAGACCCCTCTGCCATGCCTTTTTCTTCCAGAGACTTCCTTCCCCTTTCTTGCTCATTAAGGGCCCTCAGAGCTGACCGGTGAGAGCTGGGGGAGGGTGGTGAAAGAGGAGTTGGGGTGGGGTAGCAAAGTCAGGGGTTCTTACAGACACATAACCAAGTGGCTGGACCCCAAACCCAACTCAAATTCAAGGGAAGAGGCAGGGCTCCCGGGAGGCATGGCTGGTGAGATGCTCAGAGCATCTACATGCCAGCCTAACCCGAAGCAATTTCTTCAAGGGATCCCAAACTTCATGCCTGAACACTTCCAATCACCACACACACACACACACACACACACACCAGCCCTGGAAGCTGGATAATGGGGTTCTACCTCTCTCCCTCAGCAACATTTCCATTGCTCTCAGGTGTCCTTCCTGATCTCCTTACCCATGCCCATCCCTAACTGCTGGATCTCCTCACAGGGCAATGAGAAGTCTGAAGCCAAGTACTGTATACACCCTCCCCTTCAGCCCTGGCTCCTCTGCCCAGCTTTCCTGTCCAGCCGCAGACTCCTGGACACCTCATTCTATGTCAGTCAGGCTCCAGGAAAGAACTTACTGACTGGCTCTGTATCCCCTCCCTGGCTCTCCCTCTCAGTCTGACTTCTGCTTCCCCAGAAGCAGACACCAAAAACTCTCTGAGGGGTCCAGCCTCATGATTTCCCAAATGTTCCTTCAGACTTTTTCTTCCTTGATTCTGCTGATGTTGACTCTTAACCATCCGTGCTCTGGAAAGTCCCTCCTCTTTGCCTACATGACACCTCTTTCTTTCTCTCCTGCTTTTCTTCTTCCTTCCATAGCCTCTCCCTCTGCAGTTCCTTCTCACATTCTTCCATCTTTATCTCCTTCATGAATATAGATGATCCCAGGGCTCCTTTCCAGGCCCTGTCATGAGTCACCCCAATCCCTGGGTCTTATCAGGTCTATGGTTTCAGATATGACCGAAGCACTAAAATTCCTAAAATTTCCACCCAGAAGCCAGATCTCTATTTCCAAATATCCCCTGGAAGTCTCCTGGGTGTTCCACATGTGTTGACGCTCACCCTCTCTCAGAAAATGTGACCCTCATCCTATGTTCCCCAACCCAGCTGGCCAAGGCGGAAACGTCACTGTCACAAATGAGAGCTAATTCTCATATGTCCCCCACAGCAAACCAGCTCTGCTCACATTTCCCCCAGATCTTACCTAGCCTCCTCCTTGCAACATGACCTCAGACCAAAAGAATAAATAAATAAATGAATAAATAAATAAATAAATAAATCACACAGCATATCTACCCTTTGTTCAAACATTCACTGGCTTCCCTCCATTTCTAGGATAAAGTCCACACTCAGCAGGTCACCATTTAAGATCTTTCATAGTTTCATCAGCTTCCCAGTTTCCTATCTGTCCATGTTTCCTGTGTTCAGCAATGGTATTAGAAGTAAATAATAACAATCACTATTGAACACTTACAACGTGCCGCAGTGGTAAGCAAATTATATCGATCACATATTTTTACCCTGATAGCAACTCACACCTTAGATACTATCATTACCTCCATTTGACAGATGGGCAAACTGAGGCTTAAAGAAGCTGAGTGACCTGTCCAAAGTACACAGCCTGCATGTAGTAAGCCAGGATTTGACTCTAGCTGGTCACCTGGCCAGGCAGCCTCAAACTAAACTGCACTGCTCCCTGCATGTCTTGTGTTCTCTCTGTTTTTCTACATGCTGTTCTCTCTGTCTGGAATACTTGATCCGAGGTCCTGAAGAGTTGAGAGCCCAATTTAAGGACAAGATCAGATGGCACTTCCTTTGCAAAGTCCTTATTTCTTGACTTGCTGTCTCTGCCTGCTAGATGTCAGGCTGCTGGAGATCAGTCTAGACCTGTGTCATCCAATGGGATGGCCACTAGCCATGTGTGGCTCTTATGTGCTTGAAGTGTGACTGGTTCAAATGAAGAACTGCTGTAAGTGTAAAGTGCACACCAGATTTCAAAGACTTAGAAGGAAGAGGAGACTGTAAAATACCTTATGAATAAGTTTATGTTAATTGCATGTTAAACTGGTAATATTTTGGATACTTGGCTTAAATACAACAATTACGTGGCTTGGGGGGGGGTCTTTTGGATAGAAAATATTGTCATTTATTTGGTGCATATTAATTTCAATACAAAATTATGAAACATATATTCACCTATAACTTTTTAGCTTTTTAAAGTTGAAGTAGCATTCATTTAAAACATTAGGCAAGTTTCAGTTGTACAGCATTGCAATTCAGTATCTGTAAACACTGCATGATGCTCATCCCCAAAAGTCTAGTTTCCATTCACCAGTCTTATAATGTGGCTACCAGAAAAATTTTAATTGTATATGTGACAGTGTGGTGTTTCTGTTGGACAGTTCTTTTCTAGAGTTTGTTGGGAAGCAAAAGGCCCTGAAGAATTGTGGACTTCAGGGCTACAGTTGCAGGCATCAGGAAGGATGAAGGCTCCTGGGAGAAGGTGCAGAGGGAGAAAGTAGCTGAGGGTTAACTTTGAGCCCACATCGGGGTGGGTTTAGGAATCCCAGCTGTAGCAGGTGCTGCAATGAAAGAACAAAGAGAATGTGCCATGGCCACCCGGGAGAAGCAGTTTTACAAGGAGGGTGTGGCCCACCCAGCCACATGCAGCCTCTAGGTCGAGTGCATGCAGGCCTGGAAAGCATCTTTAGTAACACTGGGAGTGCTGTATCATCAGATCAGGAGACAGACCAGGTCCACAGGATTGGGAGGTGAGCAGTTGTGAGGAAGAGTGGAGAGGTACCGGTGTAGACATCTCTGAGACCATGCTTAAGAAGGAAGTGAGAGTGTGGAAAATGAAGGGGCTCGTGATGTCAGGGGAGGGGTGTTTTGTGTTCTTCTGTCAGAAATAGAGACTTCAGTATATTAAAGTTGAGAAAGGGAGAGGCTGAAGATAAAGGATCCTGAAAAGGATGGACAGAGTACCTGAGTGGCCCGGGGAGGGTAGGCCTCACACAAGAGTGGAGGGGCCTCCATAAAGGGAAGGGGAGCTATGGAAATGCACAGGGAGGTAAGATCTGGTGGTGAGACAGACTGGTGGGTGAGGAGCTAGACCCGGGAGCCCACCTGATGACCTTCTCTGTCAAGCTGGAGATCAGGCTCTTTAGTGACTTTTTTATTTTTTTTTTTTATTTTTTTATTTTTTTTTTTTTAAGATTTATTTATTTATTTATACAAGCACTGGGTACAGTCAGAAGCGCGGGAGGGTGAGAGAATTCACCAGAGCCAGACCGGGGAGCAGAGCAGGCAGAAGGACCGAAGTACACTGCTGAGGGGAGCAGCGGGCGGCAGGAGAGGTCTGCGCACCATGTGAGACCCTCCTCTGGCGGCCGGGGAGCAGCCGGGGATCGAACCGGCACCGTAGAGGCTGCGGGCAGCCTCGCAACCCAGCGCCCAACCGCTGCGCCACCGGGGAGGCCCTTTAGTGACTTTTTTAAAAGACTCCAAATAGAAAGCGAATTTGGTGAAGTCCGAGGAACAGTGAAATTGGGGAGAAGGAGTTGAGCAGGGTCCACTGGGTCCCTGAGGAGCCCCAGGTCAGATATAGGAGAGTCCAGAGGTGGACTGGCTGGTCAAAGGTAGGCTGCAGCAGGAAAGGACAGAAACAGATGGGCTGTGGGCTTGGGCGTGGGGCTGGGAAAGGCTGGCAGGCTTGGGGAAGTCAGGAGGTCCGGGGACGGGTGCAGGCTTGGAGAGTCTGAGACCGAGGGTCTGCATTTCCAAGTAGGAGCTCAGAACCATGCGCTAAAAATAATGGACATGTGACAAAGCCACAAGTCATCTCCTGTCAGGGTCACAAAACGGCAGCCCAGGGACTGAATGCATCCAGCATATATGTTTTGTTTGGTGACTTAGTTTTGATGACCAGAAGTTTCAGCTTCTCTTGAAAAATCAGGAACTTGGGCAACGCTGGCTGATAATCTGCTACGCAGCCACAGTCACAGATCCACACCCTGCAGTTAGCCACATCCCCCCACCACCACCACCACGCTGTGCTGACTCTGGGCCCTGTAGCCTGTGAGTTTGTGAGTCTTGCCTGTGGATCATGTCTATAGTTGGTTATCCAGCTCCTTCCATCTCTGGCTAGTGACTGTAGTCCAGCCTGCCTCTCCAGCAGTAGCCACAGGCCCACCCTGAGGACAACACCCCAGAGGCTGCAGAGTGGAACAGTCCACTGTACTTTCCGTTCTGCTGCTGCAATAAATGTAGCCCAAGGTCACACTAACTATTCTGGAAAAAACCTTCACCCTGATTATTCATTGAGCTTCCTGAAAAACTGAAAAGCTCCCACTTCTTGGCACAGAAAAGAACAACTAAAAATAACAACAATACCATGTCTTGTATGAACTTAAACCTTATAAAGTTCTTTTACAAGTGTTGCTTCCCCTCAACGCTCACAGCAAATCTGCTTGGCAAATGTTTCTGTTCCTACTATACAATAGGGAAACCGAGGCCTGGAGTGGCATCTTGAACTACTCAAAGCTTAAAAGTGAGGGCCTGATTTCAGCTGGGGAAGTTAATAAGCCAGGGTGTTAGAAATTCTGCCACATTAAGCTAAGGGACAGAGCGAAGACATTAGGGGTCAAGGTTGCGCTATTAGACTGAGTAGCTTTAATCTTAACTTAAAAGGTGACCTTGGGCAAGTGACTTAGTCTCACAGAGCTTCAGTTTCTCCATCTGTAAGATGGAAACTGTAACAGTAGGGCTGTTGTGAGGATTCCAGAAGATGCTACATGTAAGGAGCTTAGCATCAGTGTGCCCCGCATGCAGTAGGTGCTCGGTAATAACCTTAATGAGGGAGGCCTCCCTGGTGGCGCAAGGGGTTAAGTCTCAGCACAATGAAGCTATCAGCAGCCACTGCAGCATGAGTTCAAACCCCAGCCAGGGAGCTACCCACATGGTGCAGCAGACCTCTCCTGGCTTGCCCACTGCTCCCCCAACAGCGTGTTTTTAGTAGATCCACCTGCTCTGCTTCCCACTCTGTCTCTGGTGAATCCTCTCACTGCCCACACCTCTGGCCTGCACCCCAGTTCTTGTATGCACAAAATAAATAAATCTTTAAAAAACTAAAATAAAAAATAACCTCAATGGGGGGGGGGCGGGAAATAAAGACATGGCAGGGATTGATGCGTAGGGCTGTGCCTGCTTTCCCTAAGAAACACCTTCTCTCTCCCAGGAGATACTCTCAGATCCTCCACTGTTCCAAGACTAAACAGGCTTCACAGAGCTGGAATATTTTGTCACAAATGCACTCCTATGTCCTGAATTAAGTCAGGTTGGGATCCACATGCCATCTGTGCTCACAGCAGGCGACACGTAGAGTGGGAGGCTGGAGGGTGGGAGGCAGGGGAGTGGGAAGCATTTGTCATGCTAACAAGAGACCAACACTGGTGTCCTACTTGTGTGCTGGGTGTTGGGTACTTGGCCTTCTTCACAGAAGGTGGCTTCTCTCTCTCTCTCTCTCTCTCTCTCTCTCTCTCTCTCTCTCTCTCCAGTCTCTTGACATCAGTGTCCCATTTACCAACCAAATATCATTTAATATATTTATGGATGATCACACAGCTAAAAAAATTCAAACCCAGCCTCAAAGCCCATAAAGGTCTGATTCAACACACTTAACTCAGAATGCAAGCTGTAAGCCAGCAAGAGAACTGCCGGGCCAGCTGGTGACTCCGTGACAAGATCAGAATAAATGTCCAGGATGGCCAGAGTCCCCTGGGCTCCATGAATACCACCATCTCCTGCATCAAGGCTCAATACACACATGCACACACTCACACACACAACTAGTTACACTCCTACGTACACACACAACCACGCACTCACGCTGCCTCTCTCCCCACACACTTCAGAGCTTCTGACCACATTTGCGTCCCTTCCCAGGGGCTGTCCCTTCTTTTCTTGGACCTGGGCCTTCCAGGAGGTGTAAGCAAGCATGGCTCCAGCTTTAGGGCAGAGGGGGAGGGGCATGGCAGGTGGAGAGAGAGGCCAATTCTAAGAAACCTCACAGCCCACTTGACATGTGGTCTGGTCTCTGTTCCGTCATCCACTTCCCCAACCCTAGGGCCATGTCAGTGCTCACCTTCTGGCCCGTTCACAGCTTCCCGCACTGCTGACCACTTCCTCCTGGTGGAATCCCACCCCCTCTGCTGTAATGTGGCACCCCCACCTTCTCCTCCCACCTCTCTGGCTACTCCTTCTCAGGCACCTTTCTACACTAGTCTTCATTTTACAGGGCTCTCTCCTAATCTTTCTCTCTCTCTATCTCTCTCTCTCTCTCTCCTTCCATTCTCACAGAACAGTTTTGATGAATTCCAACTCTTCCAAGCCCAAGCCACCCTCATGAGCTCCAGTCTCCTAGATGCAACCATCCCCAGATGTCTTCCCAGCACATCACTTGACCACTATACAATAGAGTTTGTCTCCCCTGCACTACCCTGGGCTCCAGGACAGCCCCCTTGGTGTCCACTCCACTTCTGTTGCTGGCAATCTCCTGGATTCCATCTCCCACAGCCCCCTCAAACATGTGCTTTCTTCTCCATCTCTGGACCGGTTACCACACTCTATCCTAAGTCACTGCAGTAGCCTCTGAATTGCTTCCCCTCCTGCCAGCCTTGCTCATCCTGCGTAGACTCCATACTGCACCCACAATCTGCTTCTGAAATCCAAGCCTGCCCACATCATTCCCTACTCGAAACCTTCAGTGTCCCCCCGTTGCCGTCAGGATTAATTCTCAAAGCCTGACATTCAGTGTCCTCTTCACTCGCTTTACTCTTACTTCCCCTTCTCTCCACTGGCAGCCAAGCCCCAGTCCATGGTTTCATCCTGCCCCCACATATTATTTTTTTTTTAAGATTTATTTTATTTATTTATTTATACAAGCACCGGGTACAGTCAGAAGCGCGGGAGGGTGAGAGAATTCACCAGAGCCAGAGCGGGGAGCAGAGCAGGCAGAAGGACCGAAGTACACTGCTGAGGGGAGCAGCGGGCGGCAGGAGAGGTCTGCGCGCCATGTGGGACCCTCCTCTGGTGGCCGGGGAGCAGCCGGGGATCGAACCGGTGCTGCAGAGGCTGCGGGCAGCTTCGCAACCCAGCGCTCAACTGCTGCGCCACCGGGGAGGCCCAACTGCCCCCACATATTATTCTCTCTCCCCAAAAGACTTGATGAGAAAGACTGAGCTCTCTCTCCTTCCTTTTCTATGCTTGTTACACTTCCCTGTCAGCTCCAAGGCCAGGGACTGAGCAGTGGGGTCCACAGGGTCAGCGGTGGGGAGGAGATCAGGGATTGTCCTGACTGAGCCCCGCCTTCCTGAAGCCCTGGGGTTGATGCCCATTCTGCACCCCATGCCTTCCGGCCACTCACCATCATGACGTATGTGCTTATGAACTCAGCCAGGAATATTCGCACGATCAGCTTCTCCTGCAAGACTTTCACTTTTGATACCATGGGCGGCATCTTTTGGTGGTGGTGGTGGTGGTGCTGGTGCTGGTGCTGGTGGGACCTGAAGCTGCAGCCAAGCCCAGAAATCAGACTCAAGTGCACTTGCTGACCACTGGCCTTTCAACCCATGGCTGATCAGATGGAAAAGTGGCTTAAGTCTCCATTGTCTGCTGGGGGTGGGGTGGGGTGGGTATAGGGGTCAAGTTAGAGGAAGCACATGGGGGTCGAGAGGAGCACACACACCTGTGGTGTGGCCTCAGTGCTTGTTCCGACTGGTGATCCTCACCCCCCGCCCCCCCTACCCCCGCCCCGGCCATTCCAGCTGAACACCTGAAGCTGACACCAGCTCAGCTTCAACTGACTCGCCCTGATAAGGATGGCAGCATTACCCCCAACCCCACCCAAGGTCTCAATTTCTCTGCTTCACAGCAGCAAAGAGTAAGCAGAGAGAGTGAGAAATGTAAACCAGACACAGATAATAAAAACCCACTCCACCCTTCAGGCTGAAATGCCATGCGTATATCTCATCCGCCCTGCTCCTGGCTCTGTCCTTGCCCTAGGAAAACAAACTCATAAAACTACAAAAACAACACAACGCAATCAAAAAAATGGGCAAAGAAGGCATTCAGACTGCACTCAGGCCATTGGAAAAATGTTCACCATCACCTATTATGAGGGAAATGCAAGTCAAGACCGCCATGAGATACCATCTCACTGAGAATGGCCCCACATTGAAAAGACCAGAAATCACAAGTGTTGGTGAAGACGTGGAGAAGAGGGAATCCTATCACACCGCTGGTGGGAAGGCAAACTGGTCCAGCCCTTATGGTGGCAGTGTGGAGGTGTCTCGAAATATTAAAAATGGATCTGCCATTGGACTCACAAATTCCATACCTAGGCATCTACCCTAAAATTTCAAAAACTCTAATTCAAAATGAAACTTGCACTCCCATATTTATTGCAATGTTATTTACTATAGCTAAATTATGGAAACAACCTAAGTACTCCAAAACAGATGAGTGGATCAAGAAGGTGGGGTGTATATATATATATATACACACACACACACACACACACACACACACACACACACACACACACACACACACACAGTGGAATATTACTCAGCACCGAAAAAGATAAAGTCCTGCCATTTGCAGCAACATGGTGGAGCTGGAAGGGATAATGCTCAGTGAAATAAGTCAAGAGAAAGATAAACACTGGGTGGTGTCACTAATATGTGGAATAGATAGTAACTAAACTAAGGGTCAGATATAAACAAGCTAATAAACTAACCGTTGAGATTTGATTACAGAAATGAAGCACCAGGGCCTCTCCGGTGGCTCAGCAGGTTGAGTGCAACGCTGTGAAGCTGTCCACAGCCTCTGAAGCACAGGTTCAATTCCCGGCCAGCCAGAGAGATACCCACATGACATGGCAGACCTCTCCTGACTCGCCCGCTGCTCCCCTCAGCAGCGTATTTCAGTCAGTCTGCCTGTTCTGTTTCCTGCTCTGTCTCTGGTGAATCCTCTCACCCTCCCGCACCTCTGGCCTGTACCTCAGCTCTTGTATAAATAAATAAAAAATCTTAAAAAAAAAAAAAAGTGGGGCAGAAGCACAACTGACTGTGGTGGGAGACTGTGGCATTGGGTGCACAATGGTGGTAACGCCTGATGGCGGTGTCCAAATATTACTCAATTAAAAATAAGTTAAATTTTAAAAAAGATCTGAAAGGAAAAAGGGAAGGTCACAGAAAAAAAAAAAAAAGGTGGTACTTGAACAAAGACTTGAAGCCCGTGAGGGAACAAGCCACGGCATAACTGTGGGAAGAGTGTTTTAGGCTGAAAGAACAGTTACTGAAAGACTCTGAGAATATTTGAAGGAAAGGAAAAGAGAGGAGCTGAGAGGGGAGTCAGAGAAGGGGGCCATGTAGGTAGGACCTTAATCATTGCAAGGACTTGGCTTTTATTACATCCCAAAGAGACCTGAGCCTGAGAAGGTGAGCGGCAGCGAGTTCAGTTCACGTGAGCACCACTAACAGGGCAGCGGAGTCCACTGACCCACCCCTAGACCCTCATTTCTAAGTCTTTCCTCACTTGAGGGCCCAGCCTGTGCTTGCATCTGGGTGCAGGTGGGACAGGCCCTCCTTCTGCGGTCCTATGGGCTAGTGGGGGGGTTGGAAGAAGGACACCTGGGGGACCAGCTGCCATGAGAAAGAGGCTGACCCTGGGGGAGGGAGGGCACTGAGGTGCGCCGGGTGGGAAGGGAGATGCTGGGGTAGGGGAGTGGTGGGGTGCTTACCGTTTCTTGCTCTCTGCTTGAGTCATATTGTTTTTGAAATTTTTTAATTCTGTGGAGCCAAAGAGATGTCACTGCGACTGGAGGCACACAATGTGGCCCCCCACCAGGGGAGAAGCCATGGGGACAACTCCTACCAGTGTCAAGCCCTCAGCCCAACCAAACTGGCAGGGAGAGAAGGGGAAAGAGGGAGGCGTTTCAGCCAATGGGAAGAAGCCCTGGGGTTCCACCCATTCTACCCATGCCAGCTCCAGGACTCCCTGATCCAGGGACCTGGCCCCTCAAGAGGCCTTCCTGACTTTCCCAAACCTGCAGACCTGTGGAGATGCCACAACCACCCTCACACATGCAGCTATCGTTGCCTTTAATCTAACCTCAAGCCCTCTTGCTTAAACTGACTTCCCAGGACACCTTCTTTGCACAAGCATCTACTTGCGCGCGCGCACACACACACACACACACACACGATAAGATCCTTAAAACTTATTTAGTCCTGGGCCTCCCTGGTGGCACAGGGGTTAAAGTCTCAATCAAACTATTGCCAGCCACTGCAGCATGAGTTCGATCCCCAGCTGGCCAGGGAGATACCCACATGGTGCAGCAGACCTCTCCTGTCTCGCCCGCTGCTCCCCTCAGCAGCATATTTCAGTCAATTCACCTGTAATGTTCCCTGCTCTGTCTCTAGTGAATCCTCTCACTCCCTGTACCTCTGGCCTACACCCCAGTTCCTGTATGCATAAATAAAAATAAAATTTATTTAGTCCATACCCCCACCTCAAAACAAGTCTTCCCTCTCACTTTTCCTAAAAATTCCCCATGTTCCCATTTCTCTTGCAAATGACAGCACACAAGGAGCCCTTGTTTCCCTATCCTATATGTCTTTCTCGTTCTCTACCCCCAGGAGCTGCATCCCAAGACCTGACCCTGAGTGCAGAAACTCTCTAACCCCAGCCCAGCCTCTGGGGGAAAGTGGAGGGAATCCAGTGGTGGAAAGCACCCCAGCAAGCCCCCATTGCACCCCTTCTGCACTGGTTCCATGTTGCTACTCTTTGCTCTCCTTACCCCACACACATGCTCTGCTGGCAGCCCAACCCAGCACATCCTCCAGGGCTCTGCTCTACCAGTCAGTTTACAGATAGGGACACTGACACCCAGAGGGAGAGTGTGATGTGCCCACGTCATACAGCAACTCAGAACTGCCCCAGAATAGACACCAAGGCCTTCAACTCCCTGCTGGGGTTCCTTCCCCAGACAGACCCCTAGTCACCTCCTCCCCATATATCAATAGAGCCCAGGGAGTGGCACTCCCAGGCCCAGGCCCCAGGGGCAGCCGCCGTCCCAGCACTGCGTGGACCCAACTCACCTGCCAAGGTTGCTTATTTCTTCTCAGTGTCCACCTTGGGGACTTCTCGTTACAGCAGGTTCCTGGTCTTCTTTCTCAGAGTATTCCAGGCTCTGGTAACATCCCCAGCAGGGGCTTAGTTGTCCCTGTGTCCTAGTCTAGAGCCCGCCTCTCAGCAACTCAGGACGCCCCACGAGCTACTCCTGCTCCTCCAGGGGAGAGGTCAGTGGGACAGGGGTTTGGCCACTTGCGCCAAATCTAGACACACCGCCCAAAATAGCATCTCTTCTCCTGCCAGCTTCTCCACGGAGACTAGATTCTGAGGCAGCCCTTGTGAGGTCAGAAGTAGAGAGAACTCAAGGGGGCAGTCCGGGCCTCACAGTCCCAGTGCAACAAGCTGTTCTCCAAACCCGGCATCCAGTTCAGAACCAGAGGAGGCCCTCCCAGCCCCTCGGGCCTGAGGTAGGCACCTGGGCCCCGGTTGTGGGGAGAGCTGCGCAGAATGGGGACTAGAGGTATAAAGCTCTGGAGATAGTCAGTGGAGCGGTTAGGGAACAAACACTGGGCCAATCCTCAGGGAATCTTCATTCTGAAGGAGGAAGTGGGGAAACTCCAGCCTTGGACTCCCCAGATTGAAGAGAAGGAGGACACATAGGCCATATTTGCAGGGAAGCTCCATTCTGAAGGGAAGGTAAAAAGCTAGGCCTGGTCTTCTGAGTGCCTGGTTTGAAGGGAGGAAAAGCAGCCTGGGCCTCGTTCCCTGGGATTCCCCATCTGATCAAGGGAAGGGAAACCTAGGCCCCCTTCTCAGGAAATCACCCCACTTGGGAAAGGCAAACAAGATCTCTGTGCAGGAGCCGAAGCTGAGCCAGAGGGTAGAGCTAAGACTCAGGTTGTGGGAATTCAGTGACCAAGGGAGGCAGGGACCAGCTGCCATTTGAAAGGACTTTTGGAAGCTGGTATCCAAGGATAGGGCACCTGAGGATTTGAACAAATGGCACGGAGCTAAGACAAGAGGGAGTGGTGGCTGGTCTGCAGACTAAGGGGACTTGCCAGGTAGAGTGGTGGGATGGTGGGCAGCACAGCTGTGCAGGGAACTGCTGAGACCAAGCATGACCTTATGGGGGGGAGTAAAAGGCAGAGTGGCCCAAAGCCAGCTCTGGTAATAGAACTGTCCTCTAGGGGGTGCCATTAGACTGCACCACATCTGGAAACTTCATTGACCAGGTCCCCACTCCAACCTGCTCTGAGGTCACGTTGCAAGGAGAGACAGAGATGGGCTGCAGTCAGAAGGCTGTTAGTCCTTAAGAAACTAACTCTGCCACTGCAGCCTGGCCTGGCTGGGGCCCTGCCCCTTCCTCCCTTCTGCAGACTCTGGGCTCAGGATGCTGTGTCTGTCCTTCAGTGGAGGAGAACTATGCCCCTGGGTGCGCTGTCAAGGTCAGGGTCAGTTGGGGTCTTGGACAGAGATGAATTGGGCTGGGATAAAGTTGGTGAAGGAGGGAATGAGATCCAAATTGGGCTCAGGGGTCAAGCCCTGGGCTCACTCACTGAGCTGGGTGCCGGGGACCCAGAGGCAGAGAAGACACAATCCTATTTGTCTCTTAGGAGAGAGAGAAAAAAACTGCAGGTGACTCAGGATACAGTGTGACAAAGAGCAGGGAATATAGGCAGCAGATAAAGCGGCCTGGAGAGAATCTTTCAGAAGACTTGACATGGGAGTTAAATCCTCCAAAGTGAGCAGGGGTTGGGGGGGCAGATTTGAGACCATTAAGAGCACAATGGGATTGTGAGAAAACCTAACAATCTGGGAAGCATGAGAGACCTCCAGGGGGCTGGAGAAGTGGGCAGGAGCAGACCGTGAAGGACTTTGTCTGCGGGGACAAGAGGCCAGACTTTATCCCAAAGCTCTGAAACCTCCTCAAAGGGTTCTAAGCAAAGAGAAGAGCAAAGTAGCCAATCTGGAATGCCCAGCGTGCAGGGGACAATTGGGCCTGGACTAGGGAGAGAGGTCCAGCTAGAGAAAGAAAACAGGAAATATCAGCTGCTGGGCATTCACCACCAGAGTTGGTGGATTGTCAGGAAACATGAGGGCAAGCTTGGGGGCAAGGCATAGGGAAGGCACAAAGGCCAAGGCAGGATTCTGGATACCAGCAAGGTGACAAAGGAGGATCAGGTGGAAGACAAGATTGAAACCCAAACATCTAACTGCGTAGAGGCCACCAGGCTTGGAGGGGCTGTGGCCCTTGAGTTGGGTGTGGAGGAGGGGTCTTGATGAGCTGGTGGGATGGATGGTGGCCATAGCACTATCCATCAGATGCTGAGGCGGCAGAAAGTTTAAATGGGCCAGGTGTGAGTTTGGGTGTTTGGACCAGAGTTGCATCTAGACAGAGCCTAAGGGCTCTCCAGAAACATGGGGATTTTTGGAAGTGTAGCGAGGGAACACTTGGGGTCTAGTCTTCACAGGGTAGGTTCTGAGCTGAGTTATTAGATAAAATACAAAACAACTCAGAGAAATTTGAATTTTCAAAAAGCAAGATTTGCAATATTGGGAGCATACTTATACTAAAATACTCATTTCTTCTCAGAAATTCAAATGTAATTGGGTATCTTAGCTCTGAGCTGCAATGAAGACCCCTCCAGAGGCCTATCACCTTGACCTGCTTTGAGTCCCAGCTTGGCATCAAATCACTGTGCAACTTTGGCCCAGGTCCTGCCGTGGGCCTGTTTCCTCAACTGCGCAATGGGGTGATAGGATTTGCAGTCTTATCAGCCAGCCTCTCCAGCCCAGCCTCTCATCCTCCCTTCTCAGTCATACCTGGGACTCCAGGACACAGTGGGCTGAGTCTAAGGCGGCTTCTTTATGCTTCCAGACAGGGCCAAGGGCGGCAGCAGACCATTAAGTCAAAAACTAATTTGGTTGGGCCTCCCCGGTGGCGCAGTGGTTGAGCGCTGGGTTGCGAAGCTGCCCACGGCCTCTGCGGCGCTGGTTCGATCCCCAGCTGCTCCCCGGCCACTGGAGGAGGGTCCCACATGGCGCACAGACCTCTCCTGCCGCCCGCTGCTCCCCTCAGCAGTGTACTTCATCAGTCTGCCTGTTCTGTTCCCCACTCTGGCTCTGGTGAATTCTCTCACCCTCCTGCACTTCTGCTGTACCCAGTGCATGTATAAACAAACAAACAAACAAATAAATAAATAAATAAAACATGCCTCTATAAAAAAAAAAAAGGAAAAAAAAAACGAAAGAAAAACACTAATTTGGTTGAAATAATAAATCAGCTGAAAATGAACAGGTAATGCTTGGTGTGCTATGGGGCATTTTTTGCAAACTGTGATATGTCTGAAAGCATTTAGTGTTTTGGAAATTTAGTTTTCTTTTACTAATTTTGTCTGCAACACATTATTTTTGCTAATGAAAGGTTGGAAATAACCTATTGCTTATCAAGTTCTCATTTCTTAACAGTACACTAAAAATCTGACAGTGTAAACTGGGGGCCAGGGTCATTAATGTTTAACCTAACTGAAAATTTAAATATTTATGAACACATAGCCCAACAAGTTGATCAAATATAATGTCTATCATTGAAGTGGAAATGTTTTAAAAATAGAAAACAAATTTTAAATCTCAGAGCCTTTCTTTTATTCTTTTACATTTTGATTACCTAAAATACAAGTAAATCAAAAGAATCTTTAAAGACCTGTTTTCCATCCTTGACAATAAATGCTAACATTTTGATAGGTTTCTTTTAAAACTTTTCTCTGTGTATGTAAAAACACACACAAGCACTTTTTAACAGGAAGTAGAATAAAACTGACATAATAAAGTTTTGTAAAGTCCTCTTTTCACTCAAACATTTCGTGAGCATATCTTGGCGTGACAGTAGTCTACACCCACATCATGTTTGTGACTATACAGCACGGAACTGCCTTCAATTTTAAATGTGCTCCAACTCTTCTTGACTATGAACACCACGTGGTACACACAAGGGTACAAAAATGTAAGTCAGAGCCTCCCCGGTGGTGCAGCAGTTTGAGCACCGCGCTGTGAAGCTGTCTGCAGCTTCTGCAACGGTGGGTTTGATTCCCGGCCGGCCAGGGAGACACCCACATGGTATGACAGACCTCTCCTGCCTCGCCTGCTGCTCCCCTCAGCAGTGTCTTCGGTCGGTCTGCCTGTTCTGCTCCCCGCTCTGTCTCTGGTGAATCCTCTCACCCTCCGCGCCTCTGAACTGTACCCCAGTTCTTGTATAAATAAAGTCTTAAAAAAAATGTAAGTCAAAATTTCAAAGAATCAGGATGAAGAAGATAAAATGCTGCAAGATGCTAAAATTTCTCTGAACTTCCCCTCAAAATCCCCCCAATTTTTTATTTATAAAAAATGAATCCGGGCCTCCCCGGTGGCGCAGCGGTTGAGCGCTGGGTTGGGAAGCTGCCCGCAGCCTCTGCAGTGCCAGTTCGATCCCCGGCTGCTCCCCGGACACTGGAGGAGGGTCTCGCATGGCGCGCAGACCTCTCCTGCCGCCCGCTGCTCCCCTCAGCAGTGTACTTCGGTCCTTCTGCCTGCTCTGCTGCCCGCTCTGGCTCTGGTGAATTCTCTCACCCTCCCGCGCTTCTGACTGTACCCAGTGCTTGTATAAATAAATAAATAAATCTTTTTAAATAAATAAATAAATAAATCTTAAAAAAAAAAAAAATGAATCTGTTGAGGTCTCCCTGGTGGCACAGGGGTTAAAGACAGCACTATGAGGCTGTTGCCAGTCATGCAGCACAAGTTCGATCCCTGGACTGGGAGGTGACCCACATGGCGCAGCAGACCTCTCCTGTCTCGCCCACTGTTCCCCTCAGCAGTGTGTTTTAGTAGATCTGCCTGTTCTGCTCCCCACTCTGTCTCTGGTGAATCCTCTCACCTCTCACACCTCTGGCCTGCACCCCGGCTCTTGTGTACATAAATAAATAAATCTTTAAAAAAATTAATCTGTTCAGTTCTTTGTTTTGACCACATGCTATTTGATTTATTGTGTAAAGTGCTTTATACACTTGTGGCTTTCCAGATTCTTCTGAGCCATGGGTTCCTTTCTAGAACTCCAAAACCTGTGGTATTAATCAGTAAGGAAGGAGCTACTCTGGCTGAAGGGGAGGGGATTAAGACCAGGAACCCTGGTCTTAATGGATTCCATGCCTGAAGCTGCGAAGATTCTCAGACTGGTCAAAAAAGAAGACCCTCAAGCCTCAAGTTAGTGACTCCTTCATACTCCTTTTTTTTCAAATAGGGAAACTGAGATTCAGAGTGAGGTAGCAACTTGCCCAACATC